ACAAGTAATTTGTCCATTGTAGTTTCTGATTGGCGCTTCTCAATTTGATCAGTGGTAGATACAGTTAATTGTTGTCGATTACGACAAACATTGATGTACCACAGTAATTCGTTCTAAATGAAGTACAATAATATGATTGAGTAGTACAGACCAGTTTGTTCATGTTGACTAACGAATAACGTGAAATTTGAATGCTGATTATTGCTGTGAAATCATTCTCGTGGTCAACATTGTTTCACTACTAATTTGTGATAATTTTCTGTTCTCTAAGCATATGTACTGTCATATTAAGGTGTGCGCTACTTATAAGTAGTATATGACGCGAGCGAAAACGTAATGTCTGGCAGCAGAACATGGGGGAAGATCAAGTAAAGAAGAATGGGAACACAATGCAATTTCTATGAAATGCATGAATAGTGAAATGTCAGACAATGGATTGATGAGGTATTGATGTTACGGGAGAAATGAAGACATTTGTCTGATCAAAACCTTTATATAAATATCATTAATTTCACTGTGTTTTTGGGTATATTCGTTTTACTTAACTTATGAACTTGTTTGATTTATTATTTTCGTGCATTTTGAATTCCGTTTGTCTTGGTTTGGTCATTTCAGGTTTGCTCAAGGAACCTATAAAATTGAAGTACGACACTGGTCGCCTATTTGTAAATTGACGAACGACATTTTGGCCGATTATTTGTGAATGACAAATAAAATTTGCTAGCTAATTCGGATTTGGTTTTGTTGTTAATTTCCAATTTGAACATTCACTCAGGCTAGATTGATATTTCTTCCAGGCCACAATATTCAGTTGGCAAGCGTACTCACATTCCGATTCCTTCACTAGTAGTGACAAGAATGGTTGTCACGTCAATGTGTAAATCACATCTGTTCACTTTTCAATAACGAATAATTGTGCTGGTATTCATAATGTAAGAACAAGTAAATTTTGGCTCAGTTCAATCGATCCTCTGACCACTGGAATTTTGTTTCTTGAATATTGAAGCCTGGTATGCGTAAGAGGTGGATCAGAAGGACAAATATCATCGAATCAATATGTCTCCATGCAATCTCCTTTACAATGAAAGAAAATCTGCAGTTATTCTCTGTAAAGGATTATTTAGATGGGGCATTAGGCAAACCTCTAGTCGCATGGTCTGAACGAACTTATTGTGTGCACTCAAAAGCAGAGAATAATATCAACAACAATTATTGTTAGTACAAGAACATCCGAACTGACAATGAGAACGTCGATTACGAAGCCGATTGGACTCATATTGTGGCACTATTTTAGAAAACATTTTATGTTTCTAAAATATTCAAATATGTACTGTTCAATTATGCATTGTGTCGCGATCTGAGACAAATGACACATTACCCTAAGTCGTCAACCACGTACTCAGACGCACTGAGATATTTGGATTGATATAGAAGACTTGCTGATCACATGAATGCTTCTGGTGATATTGTATTCTGTGAAGCAATGTTAGAGATGCCAATTTGCACAAAGAACATAACATCATGAGAAATCTGTCGGTGCTGTGTGTGTTTGTAAAATGGTTGTGGTGAGACAGAAACAATATATTGTGAGCGTGACAAGCCGGAAAACAAACTAGAAATGCGGAACAATCAACATTTCTGTCGTTTGTCAATTTCGGATATCCACAGTTTCGACATGATAACATGTGCACTGTCATATTGTGGTGTGCGCTACTTATAAGTAGTATATGACGCAAGTGAAAACGTAATGTGTGGCAGCAAATCATGGGGGAAGATCAAGCAAAGAAGAATGGGAACACAATGGAATTTGTATGAAGCGCATGAATAGTAAATGTCAGAAAATGGATTGATGAATGATTGATGATTTGCAAACTAACTAGTGACGGTATGATTTTCACTTTTTGACTGAGTAACTCTGTAACTTTCAATAAATACAATTCGGTTGGCCTCACCTGTGTTCTCCTTCACTGTCGTATCATTATATATTTCCACAGTCGTAAATCGATAAAACGTAACTGGTCTATTTCCAATCTGAACATTCACACAGGCTAGATTGATATTTCTTCCAGGCAACAATGTTGAGTTGGCAAGCGTACTCACATTCCAATCCCTTCACTAGTAGTGACAAGAATGGTTGTCACGTCAATGTGTAAATCACTGCATTTTCAAAAAACACCGATGATTTATGGAGGCAGAAAGGAGGTCATTGAGGTTAAGAGAAAGTGAGAAAACAAAAGGAATTTAGATGAAAATATACGAAAATCCGAACAGACGATAATCATTATTTCGTTCGATTCAATGTTCTCTGTTTGAAATATCACCAAATCGCGATCGATTCACCGACTGATTTGAATACATTTGGAATAGAAGGTTTTATTTCACACTTGAACAAGTTGAAGTTGACAGAAATTTCGAAATGAAGAGATCGGTGTACTGTGTGATTGACTCATGAATTATTGTGCATGTCAGTAGGGCAAGCACTAAACGCTTGAAGCAATAACTGCACTGTGTTCCAATATCCATCAATCAATCTCATGTACACAAAATCATCAATAGAATGGAACTTTTGATAAATGAAAACCATTTGGATAACTTTCACGTTGATTCGTACGTCTGTCAAGTAAAATTAGCTGTGTTTGATGCAAAATTATCGGTTGTTTCAGTAGTATTAGAAGTGATCGCATTCATGGTTATGATAGACAAGTGGTAATCTTCTGATGGAGGATGAATGCGACTGAGTTGATCAGACGGTGATTTGGTTTCCCGTTCACCGAACAATTCACTCAAATCACTCAGGCCGTTCATCACCAACGATTCGTTGTACAACACTCTGCGTTGTCGTCACAAACTGAGGTTGATTCGAAGAAACCCTTTCGCTGTTGCCTCCTCTTTGACGGTCACAACCAGAAATAGGTCCATTGTAGTTTCTGGTTAACGCTTCTCAATTTGATCAATGGTAGATACAGATAATTGTTGTCGATCACGACAACCGTTGATGTGCCACAGTAATTCGTTCTCAATAAAATACAATATCATTGAGTAGTACAGACCAGTTTGTTCATGTTGACTAACGAATCACGTAAAATTTGAATGCTGATTATTGCTGTGAAACCATTCCTGTTGTCAACATTGTTTGACTACCAATTTTTGATAATTTTCTGTTCTCTAAGCAACAAAGTAAGACCGTTGAATTCCACAAAATCGCGCGGAAATATAGTTGAGTGATTTTCAACCTGTGCTTCACATCTGTTCACTTTTCAATAACGAATAATTGTGCTGGTATTCATTATGTATGAACAAGTGAATTGTCGCTCAGTTCAATCGTTCCTCTGACCACTGGAATTTTGTTTCTGGAATATTGAAGCCTGGTATGCGTAGGAGGTGGATCAGAAGGACAAATATCATCGAATCAATATGTCTCCATGCAATCTCCTTTACAATGAAAGAAAATCTGCAGTTATTCTCTGTAAAAGATTATTTAGATGGGGCATTAGGCAAACCTCTAGTCGCATGGTCTGAACGAACTTATTGTGTGCACTCAAAAGCAGAGAATAATATCAACAACAATTATTGTTAGTACAAGAACATCCGAACTGACAATGAGAACGTCGATTACGAAGCCGATTGGACTCATATTGTGGCACTATTTTAGAAAACATTTTATGTTTCTAAAATATTCAAATATGTACTGTTCAATTATGCATCGTGTCACGATCTGACACAAATGACACAATAACCTAACTCGCCAACGTCGAACTCGGACGCTGTGAGAGATTTGAATTGATGGAGAAGACTTGCTGATCACATGAATGCTTCTGGTGATATTGCATTCTGTGACGCAATGTAAGAGATGCCGATTTGCACATAGAACATAATATCATGATTATTCTGTCGGTGCTGTGTGTGCTTGTAAAATGGTTGTGGTGAGACAGAAACAATATATTGTGAGCGTGACAAGCCGGAAAACAAACTTTAAATGCGGGACATTTAAAATTTGTGTCGTTTGTCAATTTCGGATATCCACTGTTTCTACAAACTGAATTACCGACATGATAAGATATGCACTGTCATATTGTGGTGTGCGCTACTTATAAGTAGTATATGACGTAAGTGCAAAGCTAATGTGTGGCCGGAGGACATGGGGGAAGATCAAGAAAGGAAGAATGGGAACACAATGGAATTTGTATGAAACGCATGAATAGTGAATGTCAGACGATGGATTGATGAATGATTGATGATTTGCAAATTATCTGTTTACGGTATGGTTTTCCTATTTTCCTGAGTAACTCTGTAATTTGTGATAAATACGATTCGGTTGCCCTCACTTGTGATCTCCTTCACTACAATATCAATATCTTTCCACAGTCGTTCATCGACAAAACGTAACTGGTCTATTTTTCCAATTTGAACATTCACTCAGGCTAGATTGATATTTCTTCCAGGCCACAATATTCAGTTGGCAAGCGTACTCACATTCCAATTCCTTCACTAGTATTGATAACAATGGTTGTCACGTCAATGTGTAAATCACTGCAATTTCAAAAAAACACTGATGATTTATTAAGCAGAAAGGAGGTCATTGAGGTGAAGAGAAAGTGAGAAAACAACAGGAATTTAGATAAAAATATAAGAAAATATACGATAATCATTATTTCGTTTCATTGAATGTTCTCTGTTTGAAAGATCACCGAATTGTGATCGATTCACCGACTGATTTGAATACAGTTGGAATATGAGGCAGTATTATTTCACACTTGAACAAGTTGAAGTTGACAGAAATTTCGAAATGTAGAGATCGGTGTACTGTGTGATTGACTCATGAATTATTGTGCATGTCAGTAGGGCAAGCAGTGAACATTTGAAGCAATAACTGCACTGTGTTCCAATATCCATCAATCAATCTCATGTACACAACGTCATCAATCGAATGGAACTTTTGATATGTGAAAAAGATTTGGAAATCTTCCAGTTTGTTTCGGTCGTCTGAGAAGTGAAATTACCTGTGTTTGATGCAAAATTATCGGTTGTTTCAGTAGTATTAGAAGTGATCGCATTCATGGTTATGATAGACAAGTGTTGATCTTCTGATGGAGGATGAATGCGACGTAGTTGTTCAGACGGTGATTTGGTTTCCCGTTCACCGAACAATTCACTCAAATCACTCAGGCCATTCATCACCAACGATTCGTTGTACAACACTCTGCGTTGTCGTCACAAACTGATGTTGATTCGAAGAAACCTTTTCGCTGTTGCCTCCTCTTTGACGGTCACAACCAGAAATAGGTCCATTGTAGTTTCTGGTTAACGCTTCTCAATTTGATCAATGGTAGATACAGATAATTGTTGTCGATTACGACATCCGTTGATGTGACACAGTAAGTCGTTCTAAATAAAGTAAAATATCATTGAGTAGTACAGACCAGTTTGTTCACGTTGACTACCAATTTTTGATAATTTCCTGTTCTCTAAGCAACAAAGTGAGAACATTCAATTGTATGAAATTTGGCGGAAATGTAGTTGAGTGGTTTTCAACCTGTGCTTCACATCTGTTCATTTTTCAATAACGAATAATTGTGCTGGTATTCATAATGTATGAACAAGTAAATTGTCACTAAGTTCAATCCTTCCTCTGACCACTGGCATTTTGTTTCTGGAATATTGAAGCCTGGTATGCGTAGGAGGTGGATCAGAAGGACAAATATCATCGAATCAATATGTCTCCATGCAATCTCCTTTACAATGAAAGAAAATCTGCAGTTATTCTCTGTAAAGGATTATTTGATTCGGCAAAAGGCAAACATCTATTCGAATGGTCTGAACAAACTTTTTGCGTGCACTCAAAAGCAGAGAATAATATCAACAACAATTATTGTTAGTACAAGAACTTCCAAACTGACTATGAAAATGTCGATTACGAAGCCGATTGGACTCATATTGTGGCACTATTTTAGAAAACATTTTATGTTTCCAAAATATTCAAATATGTACTGTTCAATTATGCATTGTGTCGCCATTTGAGACAAATGACACATTACCCCAACTCGTCAACCACGAACTCGGACGCTCTGAGAGATTTGAATTGATGGAGAAGACTTGCTGATCTCATGAATGCTTATGGTGATATCGTATTCTGTGTAGCAATGTAAGAGATGCCGGTTTGCACAAAGAACATAACATCATGAGAAATCTGTCGGTGCTGTGTGTGTTTGTAAAATGGTTGTGGTGAGACAGAAACAATATATTGTGAGCGTGACAAGCCGGAAAAGAAACTAGAAATGCGGAACAATCAACATTTCTGTCGTTTGTCAATTTCGGATATCCACTGTTTCGACAAACTAAATGACCGACATGACAACATATGCACTGTCATATTGTGGTGTGCGCTACTTATAAGTAGTATATGACGCGAGTGAAAACGTAATGTGTGGCAGGAGGACATGGGGGAAGATCAAGAAAGGAAGAATGGGAACACAATGGAATTTGTATGAAACGCATGAATAGTAAATATCAGACAATGGATTGATGAATGATTGATGATTTGCAAATTAACTGTTTACGGTATGGTTTTCCTATTTTACTGAGTAACTCTGTAAATTTCGATAAATACAATTCGGTTGGCTTCACCTGTGTTCTCCTTCATTGTCATATCATCATATATTTTCACAGTCGTTCATCGATTAAACGTAACTGGTCTATTTCCAATCTGAACATTCACACAGGCTAGAGTGGTATTTCTTCCAGGCCACAATGTTGAGTTGGCAAGCGTACTCACATTCCAATTCCTTCACTAGTAGTGACAACAATGGTTGTCACGTCAATGTGTGAATCACTGCATTTTCAAAAAAACACCGATGATTTATTGAGGCAGAAAGGAGGTCATTTAGGTGAAGAGAAAGTGAAAAAACAAAAGGAATTTAGATGAAAATATACGAAAATCCAAACAGACGATAATCATTATTTCGTTTCATTCAATGTTCTCTGTTTGAAATATCATCAAATTGCGATCGATTCACCAAATGATTTGAATACATTTGGAATAGGAGGTATTATTTTACACTTGAACAAGTTGAAGTTGACCGAAATTTCGAAATATAATGATCGGTGTACTGTGTGATTGACTCATGATTTATTGTGCATGTCAGTAGGGCAAGCACTAAACGCTTGAAGCAATAACTGCACTGTGTTCCAATATCTATCAAACAATCGCATGCGCGCAACATCATCTTTAGAATGAAACTTTTGTTAAATGAAAACCATTTGGATAACTTTCACGTTGTTTCGTACGTCTGAAAAGTAAAATTACCTGTGGTTGTTGCATAATTATCGGTTGTTTCAGTAGTATTAGAAGTGATTGCATTCATGGTTATGATAGACAAGTGGTGATCTTCTGATGGAGGATGAATGCGACTGAGTTGTTCAGTCGGTGATTTGGTTTCCCGTTCACCGAACAATTCACTCAAATCACTCAGGCCATTCATCACCAACGATTCGTTGTACAACACTCTGCGTTGTCGTCACAAACTGATGTTGATTCGAAGAAACCTTTTCGCTGTTGCCTCCTCTTTGACGGTCACAACCAGAAATAGGTCCATTGTAGTTTCTGGTTAACGCTTCTCAATTTGATCAATGGTAGATACAGATAATTGTTGTCGATTACGACATCCGTTGATGTGACACAGTAAGTCGTTCTAAATGATGTACAATATCATTGAGTAGTACAGACCAGTTTGTTCACGTTGTCTACTAATTTTTGATAATTTTCTGTTCTCTCAGCAACAAAGTGAGAACATTCAATTTCATTAACTTTGGCGGAAATATAGTTGAGTGGTTTTCAAACTGTGCTTCACATCGGTTGGTTTTTCAATAACGAATAATTGTGCTGGTGTTCATAATTTTTGAACAAGTAAATTGTCACTCAGTTCAATCGTTCATCTGACCACTGGAATTTTGCTTCTAGAATAATAACGACAACAACAAACATTCTAAGTACAAGAACTTCCAAACTGACAATGAGAACGTCGATTACGAAGCAAAGTGGACTCATATTGTGGCACTCTTTTTGAAAACATTTTATGTTTCTAAAATATTCAAATATGTACTGTTCAATTATGCATTGTGTCGCCATCTGAGACAAATGACACATTACCCCAACTCGTCAACCACGAACTCGGACGCTCTGAGATATTTTAATTGATGGGGAAGATTTGCTGATCGTATGAATGCTTCTGGTGATATTTTATTTTGTGGAGCAATGTTAGAGATGGCGGTTTGCACAAAGAACATAACATCATGAGAAATCTGTCGGTGATGTGTGTGTTTGTAAAATGGTTGTGGTGAGACAGAAACAATATCTTGTGAGCGCGACAAGCGGGAAAACAAACTATAAGTGCAGGACTTTGAAAATTTGTGTAGTCTGTCAATTTCGGATATCCACTGTTTCGACAAACTCAATTACGGACATGATAACCTGTGCACTGTCATATCACTATATTTGCACAGACATTCTTCGATGAAACGTAACTGGTCTATTTACAATTTGATGTTTCACACAGTTTTACGGTAGAAATTGAGACATCCGGTTGAGTAAAACCTTTGTTTATATATCATTAGTTTCACTGTTTTTTTGGGTATATTTGTTTTAATTAACTTATGAACTTGTTTGATTCAATTTTTTCGGACATTTTGATTTCTGTTTGTCTTCGCTTGCTAACTGGCAGCTTTTCTCAAGGAACCGATATAATTGAAGCTATTTGTAGTTATTGCAATGACATTTTGGTCGACTATTTGTGAATTGCGATTAAACTTTGGTACCCAATTTCGGAGTTTGTTTCAGTTGTTAATCAGGGTTCGTGAATTGCAAATAGATCGACATACTCTACTTCAATAACGGGAAGGAGCAAAACTTGAACGTAACAAAAGTTCTTCAATTCTAATCTATTGTCATGCGTTGGATACGTCCGGAAATTTCGGGTCCAAAGTTCTTCAATTTCAGTTCTGTTGTCACACATTGGATACGTCTGGACATTTTGGGTCCAATTTTTGGTCTTATTGGTCGAATTTGTCTGGATTAATTCACATTTTGGAACAAAGGCATACAATGGAAATCAGAAGCAAAAAGCCGAAGGAAATTGACGAAATGGATTGTAAAGATTCTAAAGCTGTCTGTTGTATGTCTGATTTTAACGATGATTAACTTGACGATATTATTGTTGATAGTAAGTGCTCAGCTCAGTTTAGTACTTCTAGATTGAGGTTAGATAAGGTATTACCAAAGAAGGATAATTTGGAAAGGAGACTTGAGTTAGAAAGGCAGCTTACTTGCTACGGTTAATAAAATGGTTTTGCCTAAGATTGATATGATGCTTTTGACGAACAACCAAGCCAGTACCACCGTTTCATTATTCAGTTCACAAGCATTATATAGAGTTAACTGTCCGACAAGTGCCAGTCGTTGTCATATTTTCATATTATTGTAAAGGAAAGGCCAGAACAGCTATTGAAGCTTGTATTTCCTCGCCCAGTCACTTGGGCTATGATAGAGCACAACAAATTTTGTATCAACTATTTAGT